TGCTACCAGTCTGACAGGGACAAGCTCCGGCGCCGCATTATCCAGTGGCTCGAGGCCGAGATCATCCCAGATGGCTGGTTCTCAAAGGGCAGCAACTACAGCGAAGTCCTGGACAAGTATTTCAAGGTAGAGACTAGAGATGAGCTCTCCTTTCCTGGCCTGCACTATTACATAGTTGCTGCTCTCGCTCTTCTGTGTCATGTCATACAAAGCTGTAGTAAGTGAAGCCCTTGCAGAGCATCTGGGGCAGTTTGCATGTAATGGAAGGAGTGACAAAGTACACATCCGGGGCTGTCTGCAGCAGCGCGCGCGCACGTGCACACGCACACACACACACATACACCCCGGCCATGGCCCCTTGCTTGCCCATCCTATCCCTCGATGGAGGTACAGGAGCTGCTCTCTAACTATGTAATACATAGGGTGTGGGAGGGGCCTGAATGTTGCGTGTTTGTGTCCGTGTGACACAGTGTTACAAGGGGTGGGTAGGTCTTGGAAAATCACCCAAAATTGTGTTACATAACTTAGGCGCAGCCCCACAGGAGCTAGAGCAGCTGAGAGGCAGCAAGAAGCTGGAGCCACCTCCAGACTGAGGAGTGCTCCTGGCTCCAGCAGGCAGACATGCCCTAGCGAGTCTGTGGAGCGGGGCTGAGGGGAGGGCAGGGGAGAAGGGAAGGGAACACGTCTCTTGGGCCAGGTGGGGCTGGGACCTGCAGAGGGAAAGTGGGGGGGGGAGGAGAAAAGGATGTAAGTGCTGAGCCTTCAGAGACAAGACACTCAGCAGGGAGGGGCAGGCAGAAGGAAGGCACAGGGAAGGACACACAAGGAAGAGGCTTGAGAGGTTGGGGGTGGCCCTAGCCTTTTGCCCCAATTCAGATTGGGATGGGAGGCATGCAGGGGGTTTCTTGGGAGCCCAATCTCAAAGGATAAAGCCCCTAAATGCTGCAATAGTGTTAGCTCAAGTACCCAGTCCGGTAGAGAGAAAATAACCTCTTACGCTTCCCAGTCTTTTCATTCAGTGCTTTCCTTGGAGTCAGTGAACTCCCCTTCCCCCGGTCCCATCCCTTGTGTAACTGGCAGATCACACATTCCCTGCTTCTACCACACTCAGCACCTCTCCCCCTCCCCATCATGCTGCGCTCCTGTTGAAGACTTCCTAGTTCCCAGCCCAGAGCCTGGGGGGAGTTGGGGACCAGGAGGTTTAAATAAGAAGGTGTTGACAGTGAGAGATTAATGGTGCCTGACAGGAGTTAGCTCTGAAATTTGCCATGGCAATGGGACCCCCTGCTGGGACCCAGGAAGCCAGCCTCCCCTCGTCCCTCCCCCGCCCCACACACAAACAAGCTCTCCACCTTTATAGCCATTAACAGTGGTGCCTTTTCTGGGAGACCTCTAGTGATTCACTGCCTCAGGTGCACCCCAGGGCACCTGCAGTCACCCCAAATGATCAGGTGGCCTGCAGAGTAGAGCTACACAATCCCTTCCCCTGCCACAAACCTACTTGTCTCCAGCTCCCTCCTCAAAGGGCTGCTGTGTGCCACAGGCTGTGATGTATTTTCCAGAGCCAGCCATGTGCTCACTGTGCTGATGTCAGCACTGTGAGGAGCACCCCCTGCTATGAGCCTAATGAAAACCAGTGTCTGCCTCTCAGAGACAAACAGCTCCTGCTCGGTTGATTGAGTATCTCACTGTTTCCCCTTTCCTTTGTCCGCTGATTCCAGCCTCAGGCTGGGGAATACGCCAGTGACAAAGCCACAGCCTTTCTCAGCCCGAAAACAAAAGCTTTTCCCTGCCTCTTTTCTCCCAATTTATCCTGGGCATTCAATGGCCTCCATCAGGTAATAACCATTCCCCAAGGACTTGACAATATTTTGGGATGAAGTTCAGTCTGTGGGAGAACTAGGGACTATCAGGGCTGATATGAACCAGGCACAATTAATGGTGGCAGAGATTGTGCAGATATTCCTACATTGCCTGACAAATGCTTCTCAACCTGGACCTGTAGGAATTCAGCTGTAGCCATGGGAACCTCACTCAGCATTGGCCAATGCCTCTCACGCCTGCCCTGCATCCTCCTCCCCCGATCTCACCCTTCTATTCCAGTCCTGGGCTCCCCACACAGCCCTGCCAGTGCTCCTCACTCCTGTCCTGCTTCCCCCTGCTATTCCAGCCCTGGGCTCCCCACACAGCCCTGCCAGTGCCCCTCACTCCTTTCCTTCAGCCCCCTGCTATTCCAGCCCTGGGCTCCCCACACAGCCCTGCCAGTGCCCCTCACTCCTTTCCTTCAGCCCCCTGCTATTCCAGCCCTGGGCTCCCCACACAGCCCTGCCAGTGCCCCTCACTCCTTTCCTTCAGCCCCCTGCTATTCCAGCCCTGGGCTCCCCACACAGCCCTGCCAGTGCCCCTCACTCCTTTCCTTCAGCCCCCTGCTATTCCAGCCCTGGGCTCCCCACACAGCCCTGCCAGTGCCCCTCACTCCTTTCCTTCAGCCCCCTGCTATTCCAGCCCTGGGCTCCCCACACAGCCCTGCCAGTGCCCCTCACTCCTTTCCTTCAGCCCCCTGCTATTCCAGCCCTGGGCTCCCCACACAGCCCTGCCAGTGCCCCTCACTCCTTTCCTTCAGCCCCCTGCTATTCCAGCCCTGGGCTCCCCACACAGCTCTGCCAGTGCTCCTCAGTCCTGCCCTGAAATTGTTCCTCCTTCCCAACCCATGCTATCCTAGTATTGGGTTCCCCAAACACTTTGGCTATTCCAACTCAGTCATGACCTGCAGCACCAGCTCTTCCTCCACTGTGGATACTGCAAGCCATTTTTGTTTAGTTCAGTAATGGGGAATATGAGAGGGGACTTTGAATAGTGGTGAACAGTTAAGGCCCTAAGCCATTTCCTAATGAAATCCTTACGTGTGAGATTCATTAGTGTCACTCAGGTATGGGACATGAGCCACCAAGGCCTAAACCTGCATGGGGATTTGTGTCAAATGCTATTAGGTGTCTTGATCCCATACAGGGACCTTGGGTGGGCAGGAAAGGGGGTACATGCAGTGCTGGACAAAACAGAGTTCACTGAACTTGATTCTGTGAAAACTGTGGCCCTCCTTGTAAACAACACTGGGGGTGTGTCTAGACTACACCTCTCTGCCGACAGAGAGATGTAGATTAGGCACATCGAAATTGCTAACGAAGCAGGGATTTAAATATCCCGTACTTCATTAGTATAAAAATGGCCGCTGCTTTTTTTCAGCACGGAGCTTTGTTGGAGAAAAGCGGCAATCTAAAAGCTGATCTTTCAAAAAAATAAAGCCTTTTTCAAAAGATCCTGTAAACCTCATTTCACGAGGGATAAGGGATCTTTCGAAAAAGGCTTTATTTTTCGAAAGATCAGCCTCTAGACTGCCGCTTTTCTCCGGCAAAGCTCCGTGCCGAAAAAAAGCAGCAGCCATTTTTATGCTAATGAAGTACGGGATATTTAAATCCCCGCTTTGTTCGCAATTTCGATGTAGATTAGGCACATCTCTCTGTCGGCAGAGAGGTGTAGTCTAGACACACCCTGGGGGAGATTTGGTGTTCAGAAGCCATGGAGCTAGAGACACATGCAGGATGGTTACACACTGGCTGCAGTGAGGATAATAGTTTTCCCTGCCCTGCCACTTTTTGTCTGGGATTTCAAAGCAGCCGACAGGCTAATGAATAGAGCCTCAGGACACCAGAGGGAACTAAGACACAAGGGCTATGTCTACACTTGCAGCTTCTTGCACAAGTAATATGCAAATGAGGCTAAGCGTGGAATATCGCCGAGCCTCATTTACATACCTAATGAGCCGCTATTTTTGCGGAAGAGGCTCTTGCGCTAGAAGGAGCATCTACACTGCCCCTTCTTGCACAAGAAAAACCCTCTTGCGCAATAGGCGTGGAATACCGCCGAGCCTCATTTACATACCTAATGAGCCACCATTTTTTTCAGAAGAGGCTCTTGCGCAAGGAGGAGCGTCTACACTGCCCCCTCTTGCGCAAGAAAAACCCTCTTGCGCAGCGCCATTCTTCCTGAAAAGTAATAGGTGTAACGGCGTTGCGC